GCAACAAGTGAACATTAATGTTCAACCTCGATCACTACGCAACAGTCTTATGCTGAGACTTCCACTTCTTCGAACTAATTATAGCATAGGGAGCGCTATTTACGGCTTGCAGCTAGTGTTCAACCGAGTAGCGTCGATGTTCGATTTCCACTTGACACGGAATATGCTTCGCCGAAGATTCTCTGCCTTTTTTGCTGACCGAAGGCGCTTGATACCCAACAGCTAAGTGTAAAATTTAATTTTTAGTAACTTGACAATGCTTTCCAAGTTATTTTCGTTTGTAACTGTAGTAACTGTAGTATATGTATGTCGTCTGTATAATCTGTACTTTTTTTACAACACATCATTGGGACTATTTCTAGTCTGTTGATGCAACCATAACAAATAAACAAATAAACAAATAAACAGCTAAAATGCTATTTTTCGTAATTATGAAACAATGGGATACTATAATGATAATTTTTATTTGTAAGGTGCAAGAAGAGGTGGTAAAGTTTGTGTATGATACATAAAATTTATCAATTTTGCTTTCAGAAGGTCACAATTAGCGATTTTATGATCACTGATTGCTCGCTCATCGCGTTGCTCATCGTTACAGCTAATCGCTATTGTGACCCTCTAAAAGCAAAATTTACAAATTTTATGTATCATACACAAACTTTACCACCTCTTCCTGCATCTTACAAATAAAAATTGTCATTATAGAATCTTATTGTTTCATAATTACGAAAAATAGCATTTTAGCTGTAATGAGCAATTGCAAGCCTGGTTTCATGAATTGACCACTTTTACAGATGTTCTGGGACTTCCGGAGGACTAAACTTGTGACTTTCCGGATGCAAAATTTTCCCAAAAGGTGGTCATCCATCTTGGTAATAACTTTTCGCCGGGAAGTTATCTCTTCAAATTACCCGACAATAATAGTTTGTCCCAATTAGCTCTAATCCCATATGGTACGTGTATTCGTTAAGGTGAATTGCTGTGAAATCCTTATTCTCGGAACCAGTTCGAAACTTTAAGTGCACAAATATCAGCATCTACGACACGTGCAACATTAGAATTGTTACTTTACGTTTGCTGCACTGAAGCATACACGAAGTAGTAATTTCCGAGATTTGTGTAATTGAAAATTCGAAGTGGACTCTACAAGGAATCACCTTAATGTCGGTTCCTATTGTGCGGTCCCTATTAACCGTACTTTTCCCGATTAAATTCATCGTAAAAATTCACGGCTTTTTCCCGGTCACTGGTCACTAGACTGATGCAAAATTTGACTTTTTCGCTCCACAGTGCTTAAATGGTTTCAAATCGGGTCCTGATTAGCCTCCCAAAGTTACAACTCATTTGGTTAGAAACAGACTTCGCACAAGCCATTTGAAGTTGACATGTAAATTACTATGGGAAATCTCAACTTTTTGTTTATTGCCTTCTAGTCTTTTTCCATATTGAGCTGCGAAACAGTTTGATAGCCATTCTTATAGAAAATTTTTTCAGCTACAACTTTGCTGAAGATCGTTTCTATGCAAAACGAGACAGGAAAATTTTATTAATTATTTAAGAGATTGGTAATCTTATGGCATGATCAAGCAGCTGTTTTGTGAGCAACACTGTATGTTGCAGTGTGACATAGTAGCCATGATTTTTGTGTCCTATTCAACGCCCCAGAAACACCAATGTTGCCTGCTGAGCAGTTGATTGAGCATGATCATAAGACATCAGCGCATTGAACCATTGATAACTTTCGATCCTTGCATTTAATCAAAAAGTAGTCTTCAGCATAGTTGTAGCTGGGAAAATTTCCTACAAGTACATTTGAAAGCTTTTTAAGCATACCGATATGGTGAATTATTAGATAGATATAAACAAAAATCTTGGTTTTACCATAGTAATTACCATACAAACTTCAACTGGTTTGTGCCATCTCAGTTTCTCACCAAATGGGTTCAAATTTTGAGAGGTTAGTCAGGATCCGATTTGAAATCGTTTAAGTATTGTGGAGCGAAAATTTCAAACTTTGCATCACTCTACTGGTCACCCTGAACATGCCTCATTTTCGATTTCACAATGCACGGCCAATGAGATCAACTCAAATTTGAGTTCAGTTTACTCATAATCGCAAAAAGTGCAGGAACTCAGCGATGAGTAAATTTGTCTCATGTTTTCCTGTGGAAAACCTAAAAAATCTGCCGGAAAATTTACGAAAATTTTACTCAGTTTAGAAGTAGTACCAATAGACTGAGAGAATCCAATCTTTACTTTTCTCAAATTCGAGATTTTTTGCTGGAAAAACTGGTAGATCATAAGGCGATCGCTGAGTACTTGCCCTTTTTGTGATTTATGAGTAAACTATAAACTCAAATTTGGGTTGATCTCATTGACCTTGTAGTAAAGCACGTATTACGTAAGAGGTTTTTTTTTGAGCTTATTTTATTCCAGCTCCGCCTTAGTAAGATCTTACGTCGAACATTAACATGCACTGTATTCTTCATGATTACGTAATTTTTTTCTGAGATTTCCTCCCTCCCTTGTAGGACAACATAAGAAAATGTCCCCTTAACGTCTTACGTAATAAGTGCATGATCCCTAAAAGAACACTCAGTTGCGAGCAACAATAATGTTTACGACAGACATGATTGCAGTACCGCTGTACTCCTGTAATCTAGTACGTCAATTGTGGTACTGGATTAAAGGAGTACAACCGGAACTACAATCATGTCTGTCAAAGGTTTAAAATAATTAACGTCAAATAACAAGAAGAACCATACGGATATGCGGGGTCAAATATGGACCAGTTAGGTCTGTGTCACAAATGGGAAAGATATGTAGGGTAAGGTGGGGCAAGATGGATCACCTAGATCATTTATTAATTTATTTGTTTGTTAAAATCAACAGGTTCAATGCAACCCCAATAAGGGTTTGCTTTTTCAAATCAGCATTGGAGCGACATTGAGCCTGTTGCCTTTGACAATAAAAAAAAATCTATTGATACTGAGTATCAATACTACCGGCGCGCCAGGGAGGCAGCTCCCACCAATGAGACCAACTGCTTTCAAATCAAAGATGTTATACCTCAGAAAATCCCGACGGCACCGACTGGGATTGAATCCAGGCCCTTTGGAGTGAGAGGCAGTCATGCTTACCACTACACCACCGGCGCCACTGAAATCAAGTAGATGACCCATTTTGCCACGTGACCCATCTTACCCCACCTTATCCCATATGCAGTTTGCTTGATGCAAGATATAGATAAATCAATTTCCAAATGAATGGAAGAAGCGATGGAGTCCGGAGCGCCGAAGCGGATAGACGACTACGTTGAAATGGTCAAAATACACATTTAAGGATAACCAAAAGTCTGACGAGCTGCATGAGGTGGAGAGTTCAACACGCGATGGCGGGGCACAAAAATCGCTACCTAGAAATGGCCAGATGCTGATCGATACTGGCCGTTTTGCGGGGAGATGCTTAGTAAACAACTACCAGAATCGCTTGCCGTCCAGAAAGATCAAAATAGGTTTGGATTAGAGAGGGTCTAGTATAAGAGAGGAGCGGACTGCCTGGTATTGAGCCAAATGAACTGTCAAAGCCAGAGCCAATCGAGCAGCGCCTATCTTGATTGCATTGGCAGTGTTGCTAGAAATCACTTAGGCATAGGATGCCAAGACAGTTTGTCGCTTATAATAAACCCTCTCTAATTACTACCTGCCATGTTGTAGTTCAGTACTTACAACAATCAATACGAAACTAACGATTTTAAATTGGCTCACCACTTTAGTAGCCTATTGGTCCCAAGCAAACGATTAACGTACCCTATTCTAGTTGAAATTCTATTACTACACTATGTTTGTTTTGATTCGCTATGAAAGTTTGACAGATAACATCAGGGGTGTGTGGATTCATGCAGAACATGCAGGGGTGAGTGAAATAGCTTGGGACTGCTTGGGACCGTTGTTCTGGTACTGAGTGAGCCAAAAATAATAATGATTTTCTTCGGGACCCAGTGGTCTTAGAGTTACCTCTATGGTACTTACTCAACCACCGATCACTATTTTCCGGAATCCCAGTCAATAGCAGGAAGAGTTTAGAAGCCTTCAAAAAATTTAATCGGGATTTCTTGTTAGTGATCTGTTGATTGCATGATGATTCTTCATGTTTGGTCGTATTAACCGCTTAAACAACACTCGATCGACAAAAGGTCCTATCTGCTTTGATCGATTCTCTTCATCGACTTTCTCTTTTGCAAACCACTGCTACGCAAAAAGATTTCCCATTATTTTTACCACATAGGCATAGGTTGCCAAGGTATTTTGTTTTGAATCCGCTCCTCTCTTATGATAGACCTCTCTAGTTTGGATAGCTTGGCTGGAAGAATGATTAAATTTGTTTAATCAGGCGGATATCTGCTGGTGCAGAGGAAAGATGATGTGGTGGTCATTCAATTTACGAGTCATCCGAAGAACAATCCGGCAGGACTTGGTGCCGGTGAGGTAGCCTTTGATGAATCTTACGATGAAATTTTGTATGATCCAGAAATTGCGTTAACTACGAGCAAGAAGCTATTTTGGATGACTACGTAAATGAAGCCAGTTTACGACAATCATTGAGGACTACCCAAAAAATGACAAAATCCATGTTGGAAAAGTTGAAAGTTGTGGTTGACCAACTCAACCTTCATAATTAGGCCTATTCTGCGCGGCTTTTAAGGTGCAGTGGCAGTGAAGTGAAGGAGTCTCAGCTCACCCGAGGTGACAATTCAATGAATATTGCATTAGGTCCTAAGTAACATTGATCGATTCTCTTCGTCGACTTTCTCTTTCGTTAATAACTTGAGCACATAACCGTTTCTTGCTGTTTTTGTCGTATTAGATGCTAGATAAAATAGGCCTAAATCATCTAGCTTGCATTCGAGTGAACTGAAAAAAAAAACTAATTACTTACCGCTCTCCGTTCTGGACACCCAGACATTTCGGACATTGCTTCACACACACACAACCACCCACTGTTGTTTCCTGATGTCCTGTTTATTATCCGATTTGCGTGTACTTGTTTTAAACAGTAGCTTAGATAGTTAGTACTAGTATTGAAACGTTGACGTTAAAATCTGCGCGTGTGTTGATGCTTCTTCCGGTGCTGTAGCAGGTTCTATCACCTTCACAATTTCGTCCCGCTCTTTAATCTTCTACTATGTCTCTCGCTCATTCGAACCAAAACATTATTCATTAATAATAAGCAATCATCACTTCCCAACCGAAAATCAAAATCAAAAAACCGGAACCCTTAATCCAGTTCCTCTTTGCCGCCTTGCGCCGACCCAGCTGCCGCCGAGCCAACCCTTTGATGGCTTCCTCCGGCCGGTTCATCCTCCAAATCGTCGTCCAACCCTTGGAAGAACTGATTCAGCAAATCACCAAAGATTCCGCCCATCCCCTCGGTCTGCGGCCGCTGTGGTTGACTGGCCCCGAAGAATATCATCCCAATCTTCTGCAGATACTTCTCATAGGACGGATCGCGCTCCAGCGAAGGTTTATACAGCTCGCACAGCGTCCGAAAAACGACCAACTTTCGCTGGTTCGCTTCGATCGCTCGCAGCAGGAAGAATATGAAATTCAACAGGGGCGTTATAAACGGCGGTTCACTGCAGGCAATCTTCGGATGGTACTTGGTGTAGGTGGCAAAAGTTTCTGCCGCTGTGGATGTTTCCTTCAAACAGAGCTGCTGCAGGATAACCTGCGCTATAAATAGGTCCATTTCGGACGGAAAACCCTTGGTTTGACTAAGCTGAATCAGCATGTGACCGCAACCGCTGCCATCCTTCGATAGTAGGAAATGATGCCGCGCCTGGGCCAAATTGTCCTCGTTCCACATAATCTGCGCTATTAACTTGTGCATCATCGGGTGACCAACCTGAGACTTTGACACGCTGGCGCTCCATTTAACTGATTTCACCTGCACGATGGAAACAAAATTGAACATTCTAAACTGTAACAATCACAAACATTACTCTTACCAAAAGTGTTTCCCTCTCGACAACATTCGACGGTAGCTTGCTCAGCAGTACGGCAATTTTCTGCATCCACTTCTCGGCATCTTCCGTTATTTTCCCTTTCTCCAGTGTGTCCACTATCAGTAGCCCCAGATCCGCACCACTCGTGTGCTGTTCGTGGTTTAGCAGGGTTAGCGATCCCTTGTACAACAATTCCAGCAGTTCATCATACTTCTTTTGGGACAGATACCGAAAGTACAACGTCCGATACATCTGATGGGCTTCGTAGTAGTTTCCGGATTCGATCGACGATTCCAACTTGGCCAGAACTCGCGCTACACCGCGGGCGCCCGGGACGACGCCCGTTGCCGCGGTTTTAGTGGCCATTCCTGGCTCTCGCTGCTGTTGCTCCTCCAGCGGGCTCAATCGAACGATACTTCACTGGTAAAAATCGATTTTCACCTCACAATCTCTCACTACCTCCTCCAACTGCAGCGCCAAGAGTCGATGATGTTCTGGGAGGATTGCGACGGAACCAGACAACGCAATTTCCACTTAACCACACTCACCGCATCGGAACGATCAGGAAAATCTTCTTGAATGATGCAAAACGGTTGGATTGCAGGAATAATTTCCTAATATTTTACTCCGAAGATTCCAGAGTGCCACCATATAAGCGGAGAGAGCAAGGGACTTTTTCGTCGGTGTTTGACAGCTGCAACTGCAAGTAACACGGTTGATGACAGATTGGAATTAGGCTGGCAGTTTTCGACTTTTGGTTTCCCAGTGCCAAAAGAAGAAGGTATTCCGCGAGCTGACAGTAAACACTGAGAATAAAAAACTTCGCTGGCACACACTCGAATTTAAGCATTATTTTTTTAAGCATGCATATAAAAACCCTTTGCTATGATTGAAAAGTTATCAGTTTTAGATTTTTATTTATAAATGACAACTAATAACGTTATAATTCATCACTATGCTTAAGAAGTTAGCTGATTGCTAGGCTGATCATTTTTTTACGTGGGACTACGTCGAAAATAGAGCTTTTTGATGTTTGATCGGCGCACACTATTGCACAATTAAAATTGAATGAGCGCGAGCAAGAGGGAAACAGATTAGTAGGAAAGCAAACCGTCCGTTCATTCATGTGTGCTAGATAGAGAAAGACAATTGAACGTCAAAAAGGTCTATGGAACGTGTAACAAAATTATGAAAGATTTCGAACATTAATAACTCAGCTGCCCCTGGAACAATGTCAATAATTTTATCACCAATCGATCAGAAATATGTCTACGCATCAATACCAATGCTTTTAAATGATGATTTCCAACAAAAAAAAACTATTGAAAAAGTGATGATGTGGTAATGTGGTCACTGTTTTCATGAAATAAACGTTCTTTCCCAGGGGGTAAGTCACTCTGCCACCATGTGTCTGTGCTTATTGTGTTTCCAGTGTGTTTTTGGGTGTCGGAAGATGTTTCATCATGTTGACCGAGCTGTCAAAACTTCAACCGAAAAAATATATTTACTGGCAACCATATCCTCAATCATAACAACATAACGCTATTAATGGATCCTTCTGCGACTCCTTTGCTGTTGTTTGTGTGCAGATTAATCCATGAAACGAGCATTGGCCCTCTCACTTGAGGAGGAAGACGAAATTGGCGCCTAACCTGGCGCCTGATGATTTGCTCACTCTCAAGAGGGCCTTCAGTCAGGCTGAAATGCACAACTGGCTTACGAACAGTATCCCGGAAAAACCGAAAAATATTTATGGAAACGAAAGGAATAGGCTCTTTTTCCGTCACGTCTTCATTGTCTTTTAATTTGTGAATTCGGCAAGGCGGAAGCGAATTTCAGAAGTAACAACATTTCTACCATTTAGATTTTCAAGGACTTTTTTACGAAGGAAGTCACCAAGAAACGGATCAAGCTGCAGCTTCCAACAAATTCGATTTGATTGATATCAGCGTAGCACCCATATTCAGATATCAACGAGCAAACCTTCCCCGGATTAATCAAGTTGATCGAGCTGAAGATCGTTCACTACCACAAGCTGACGAAGGACCACCAGACACTGCAGACACTGATCGATTTAGGCATTCGAAACGATGAACCGCATCTACGAGATTCTGACCGATCTGTACATCGATAAGTTCAAGTTCAGAGGGGTCAATGTGAAGACGAAACTGCCGCAGTTGACTGACCTGCAGGAGAATTATAAATATGACGAGTTGGTCATTTTCTACAGTGTCGGGAAAGCGGTTGATGATGAGTAAATGGACTGGTATTTTAAATAAATCTACATTTCGGGGACACATTCCGGTTGAAGTCAAGTCGGTCGATCACCTTAATTTTGTCTGTGCCTTAATAGGCTAGATATCGGCTCTCCATCCCACGGTGATTTATTGTTGTGCTTATGCTGCCGTATATAGCTTGATTGTCTTTCTTAAATCAGTGCCCGTCCTCCTGGGCGAAGTACTCGACACATTTCCCCAATCGCTTGCCTACGAAGCCTACGATGATCTGAGGATTCAATCCCAGGTATTTACCATTACCGCATCAAATGTTCAGCAGGATAGACCCGGGACTAAGCGATTCCAAACCCTGCAATTCGTGGCCACGGTGAGTGCCTCCAGTTCTAATTGGGCAGCGTTCTCTTTGATACGATCAGCTCTATCATTCGCTTCTTGTTGATACGTATCACACAGAGAACTAAACTGGGAACGTTAAGGGCCGTCATTCAACTTTCTGAACGTAAACGATACTCTTTATTCACGTTTCCTAATTGTTAGGCTGCCATTCAACCTTACCGTATCCATCTTTCTCGGCGTTATTCCATGAGTCCATCCGTATCGACTATCGCCGGATATTGCGAACAGAGACCTTCGGGGCAAATCCACATTTAAGTGTTGTCCCGTGGTGTCCCGACGATCCATTACTATATCACTTCCGAGGGTATCGAGATTTGCCGATAATACTCGTACTCAGTCGTACCAATCTGGGTTCGTATCGTTGTAACTGTAAACAACAACAACAATAACAAAACAACAAAATAATTTTTTAATTTAATTTTTAAAATTATCGTTGTCCTCAAGTGGTGATCAAAATTGTAACCAAGTTGTGTTTTTTTTAATTAAATATCATTAAATGAAAAAATCAGCCACAACAGCGACTAAACTATTGACAATAACGACAAACAATATTTTCCCTTGAAAAAAATCACAACCTATGGCCAAAATGTCGGGCAGATTAAATCGTAGTCGTTGCAGTGAGAAAGCCGTTAATCAAAGCAAAATTTTAGCTTTTGAACTATGATCGTAAAATTCCAGAAGAAAACTCCGGGAAATGTTTGAATTAGCTTCTGAATCAGGGGGTAAGTCACTCTGCCACCTTGTGTCCGTTCTTATTGTGTTTCTTCGGTGTTTTTGGGTGTCGGAAGGTGTTTCAGCGTGTCAACGTAGTTGTCAAAACTTTGAGTGAAAAATAAAGTTTTCTGGCAACCACTATATCTATAACAGCTGTTCTGAATGGAGCTAAAAAAACATCCAGAGAAAGACGAAAGAAGCTCTCCTGGATGAAGTTCGAGAAAAGCTGGAAAAACCTCCGGGAAACTTTCAAGACACGAATTGAGAAACTTGTGGTGAAAATTTATATAAACTATCGGAAAAAAACGGATGTCACATCCAAAGGAAGCCAGAAAATTTTCGGAAACCAGAAGTAAATTTCCAGAAGTAGCCATTTCCAGGGAAAGCCAGAAGAAGCTCGGAAAAACCTTATAATAGCAGTCGAACAAAAAAACCTTTGGTATGTGGTTAAACTTCCAGAAGAAGACGAAAGAATTTTCTGGGAGAATTAATTGAACTTCCTTGAGAAGACGAAATAAACTTCCTGGAGGCGCTGGCAGAAACTTCCTAAGGTAGATTGGAAGAAACATCTGAAGAAAGCCGGAAGCCAGAGCGCTTATGGAACAGTCGAAAGAAACAAGGGGCCGTATGAATAAAAAGAGTTTACTTTACTTTCCCGTGCTTTTCTTACAGGAAAAGTAAAGTAAACGCTTTTATTCATATGACCTAAGGACATAATTTCGGAAGAAAGAGATTCCTGGGGGATGTTCTAATGATCCAGAAAATTTTCCTGTTATTCAAAAAACATTCCTGAAGACTCCGAAATTTCCCTGAAGTTTTCGAAGCATTCCTGAAATGCACTTAGGAATATTTCATAGTTCCTCGAAATTCCTTAAAAGTTCTTGTAATTTTCCTGAAATTAGGGGCTGTTTTGGAGTTCTCTGGTCATCCTCGAAGCGCTCGGAACTTCTCTGATTATAATAAGACTACCGGAATATCTCTAATCATCTTAGAAGGTCTCTGGCCTGGTCTCTGGACTTTCTTGAAGATTACGAAATCTCTTAAGTGCTCTCACAATTTCTTGAATTTATTGTGACATCAGCATTAAAGTTCTCTGAGCTTCCCGATTTTTTTAATTTTTAAAAGTTATCGACACTGCCATCAAAAAGCATAGAACTTCCCATAAAATGTTCTCACAATGTTCTAATGTTCATGTAACTTCCCTTACGTTTCCTAAATTTGCATGGACATTGCTGAAGTTTTCGGAAATTGCTTGAGTTTCTCGGAACTCCTTTATAATTTCAGCAATTTCATTGAAATTAATTGATCTGTTCTGATGTTCTCTGAGCTTCACTAAAGTTCCTGAAAACCATTAAATTTCCCTGCAGTTCTTTGGACTTGTGAAGTTTCCAAAATATTTATGATGTTTCCTTAAGGTTCACTGGAGTTCGCTGGACTTTTATGAAATTTCCGGGTTTTGAATTTTAACAGAAGTTAATTAAACTGTCTTTAATTTATCGAAACTTACACAAAAGTCTGGACTTTTCTGAAGTTTCAGAACTTCTTATATGTGACTACAGCTAGTGTGGATCCATTCGTCACCCATTTCCAGTCAACTGGAACAGCTGTGGATTGTCGTAGAACTTCCACAAAGCAAGCTTAGTGTAGGCGCAATCTACCTGCCTCCCGACCGCAAAAACGACTGCACGATCATCCGTGAGCATGTGGAATCGTTAGGGTCAATTTCGTCACAATTAAGTCCCTGCTCTCCCGCTTTCGTATTTGGTGACTACAATCAAGCTGGTCTGCAGTGGCACACCATTAATTGATCCACTGCTTTCGAATATGCCGGTTGCTTGCTGTGCTCTTTTGGACGGCTTTAACTTTTACGGGTTCACACAAGTGAATACTTTTCCGAACCGAAATGGACGTTTGCTAGATCTTGTCCTGGAAAATGATTCCGCACTACCGGGCACTTCTGTTTCCTTGCCCGTCGAGCCACTGATTGATCTAGATGCCGATCATCCCGCTCTCGTCGTGTCATTTAGTTTACCTGCGCCGATTCTTTTTACGCCGTCATCTGAGTGCTACTCTTTGGATTTTCGCCGGGCCGATTATGTTGCATTGAACAATGCGCTTGCGGAAATTGATTGGCAATTTATCGAAACTGCCGCTAGCGTGAATGATGCAGTGGATTTTTTCAGTGCTGCACTGGAAGATGCTATTTTCCGCATTGTCCCAGCTCGACGACCTCCGCTAAAGCCTGCATGGTCTAACCCACGCCTACGCGTGCTAAAACGTCAACGCTCTGCCGCCCTCCGAAAGTATTGTAACTCTCGCTCGCCGTACTACAAACGACTGTTCAATTTTGCGAGTCGTAGTTATCGAAATTACAATCGTTTTCTCTATAATCGACACGTGAGACGCACGGAAGCGAACCTTCGCACGAATCCGAAAAGTTTTTGGTTGTTTGTCAACTCAAAACGGAAGGAATCCGGGTTGCCTTGTTCCATGTTTCTCGGGAATGACTCGGCTAATAGTGAAAGAGAAAAATGCGACTTGTTTGCTCGTCATTTCAAGCAAGTGTTCAACGATTTCTCCGCTTCGCCAACACAAGTGCTGGATGCTGCTGTTGGGATGCCACGTGATGTGTTTAGTTTCGTTATTCCGCGCATTTCAGAAGACATGGTGATAGCCGCAACACGCAGACTGAAGCTATCGTTCGCCTCCGGACCTGACGGCATTCCGTCATCAGTTCTAAAACGTTGTGTAGCCAATCTCTGCCTTCCACTTGCGAGGCTATTCAATCTCTCGGCACAGCAATGTGAGTTCCCCTGCCGCTGGAAACTTTCTTATCTGTTCCCAGTGCACAAAAAAGGAGATAAACGGAATGTCATAAATTATCGTGGAATCACCTCCCTGTGTGCCTGCTCAAAACTGTTCGAGATTATCATAAATGGTGCTCTGTTCACACGCTGCAAAAATTATATCGATACAGAACAACACGGTTTCTACCCGAAGCGCTCCGTTTCCACGAACCTGGTGCAGTTCACTTCTAACTGTCTGCGATGCATGGATTCAGGATGGCAAGTCGATACTGCGTATATGGATCTAAAAGCTGCATTTGACACGGTGGACCATAATATCCTGCTGGCCAAGCTGGAGATACCTGGCATCTCGTCAACTGCTGTGGATTGGTTCAGATCTTACTTGGTGAACCGCTATGTACATGTCAATATTGGCGCGTCGGAATCGGATGTTTTCTCAAACAACTCGGGAGTCCCGCAAGGCAGTAACCTAGGACCGCTACTATTTTCGATCTTTTTAAACGATGTCGCCTTGCTGATACCATTTGGATGCCGCGTTTTCTATGCAGACGATACGAAAATCTACAAAATTATTAAAAGCCTCTCGGACTGCTGGGATCTCCAGAATATGTTAGGTATTTTTGCTGACTGGTGCTCAAGAAATTTGATGAGTCTAAGCATAGAAAAATGTAACATTATTTCATATCACCGAAAAATTGAACCAATCATGTTTGACTATGTTCTCTACGGACGCTGTCTTGCTCGTGTAGAGCACATAAAGAATCTCGGCGTTACCTTGGACTGCAGACTCACTTTCAGAATCCACTACAATGACATCATCTCCAGAGCTAATCGACAATTGGGCTTTATTTTCAAAATTGCCGACGAGTTTCGTGACCCGCTATGTCTCAGGTCACTTTACTGCTCGCTTGTGCGATCCTTATTGGAGTCAAGTTCAGTTGTTTGGTGCCCTTTCCATGCTAGCTGGATCACTAGAATTGAATCCGTTCAACGCAAGTTGGTGAGATATGCTCTTCGTTTCCTCAACTGACGTGACCCAACGAACTTGCCTCCGTACGAGGAGCGTTGCCGTCTCCTGGGAATCGAGCCATTAGAGGTGAGACGGACGGTCGCTCAAGCTATGTTCGCTGGAAAGCTGCTTACAGGTGACATTGACTGCCCAACACTGCTGTCACAACTAAATATGTATGCCCCTGAGAGGTCTCTTCGTCAACGCGACTTTCTGTTTTTGGAACCACGGAGCCGGAATTATACACAACACGAGCCAATTCGAGCAATCAGCCGGCAATTCAACAACTTTTTTTATATGTTCGACTTCAATGTATCAGCTGACGTGTTTCGTCATCGGCTACTTGGCCTTTTCCGTACCGTTGACCATAACTATTTAGTTTAAGTTTTATTCATTCAGACAGTATTTGTCAGTTGAATTTTTCAATAAACAATAAACAATAAACAATAAAAATCTGATAGCATCCTTGAAGCTCTGGGAGAGATGAAAAAATCGAGCGAAGGCTGAAGAAGCATCCAAGGTAAGGTGGAAGAAAATTCCAGGGAAAATTGGATGAAACTTCACGAAGATTAAAAATGAATAAAAACTTCTGGAAGATAAATAATTTTTAAAACATATTTCTCGATTCCCTAAGAATTACCGGAAAGAGCCATCGACTATTTCTTGATTGATGGGTAGCCAAAAACGGTGAGGAAATGCAAACATTAATCGAAAGAGTGTCAAGCATAAGGCATCTTTAGAGATGATTATTTAGAATTTTGAAGGCTAAAAAAATATGAGGTATTCAAAAAGATACAAGCCTCTCACAAAAATTTTCTCCGAAATTCGAGCGCGGGCAGGCATTAATAATTTTGATTATTTAAAAAAAAACGGTAAAAATCAGTATAAAATCTTAAAAATCGGTATTCTAGTTTGGAAATCGGTATAAATACCGATAAATCGGTATATCTGGCAACGCTGATTCTGCCCTTTCGGGATTAACGAGATCCGGATTAACGAGTGTCGGATGAGCGGGGGAATACTGCATAAGAAGGTATTCTACCGCCCAACGGCAAAGTTCAGCACGTTCTCTCCCCACGGCTCATTCCTCTGATGCGAGATTACTGAAGTGACAGCAACAACGAACACTGACAAAGGAGACTGCAAAAGAAAAGGTAAAACCACGAAAGCAGAGTAGGAAGTTTCGCAAATCAGCCAAAATATTGCAAAACACATCCATTATTTTCCCGTTTTGTGCATAAACTGGATCTGCCCGTGTTCCAAAAGTTACGTAAAACCAAATTGGAGTATTGGTTGCACGGGAAGTTGATTCGGAAGGAGGATTTTGGCCATCGTTTCTACAGGTAGGCGAAATTTTCTGCGAAGCAAAAAAGCTCTTATCAGGCAGGAGGGTGATATCACTCTTTGCACTCTCATTAATACACATAAGCTAAGCTGCAACTAACATGTAATCACTTTCTAGAGTGTTTTGTTGTGTTGATTATCAATTATAGATAAAAACGGAATGGCGTCAACGCAGGAAGCAGCAGTAGCGGCGATAGCGGAGTCCATTGCGGCGATCAACAGTGGTCCAGCGCAGGACGGGGACGAACGGTATTGTTGGGTTTGTTTTGCCACAGACGAGGATGACAAGCTGGCACCGTGGGTTCAGCCGTGCAACTGTCGGGGAGCCACCAAGTGGGTCCATCAGAGTTGCTTACAGCGCTGGGTGGACGAAAAGCAGAAGGGAAACACCTTCAAACGGGTCAGTTGTCCACAGTGTCAGAGCGAATATATCATAGTGCTACCGTCGATGGGAGCGTTGGCCAATGTATTGGAGGGGATCGATACGTTGATCAAGCGGATCAGCCCATTTCTGACGGCCGGGGTGATTGTGGGATCTATCTATTGGACGGCCGTAACATATGGAGCGGTCACGGTGCTGCAGACGGTGGGCTACGACGAGGGACTAGCACTGATGGAACGGGCAGAACCGATCGTGCTCCTCATCGGACTACCGATGATCCCAGTTGGATTGATTCTCGGTCGGATGATCCGTTGGGAAGAGTTCATTCTGAGGTTCCTGCAGACCAAGTCGTTCAGCGTACGAAAGTTCCCGATGTTGAGTCTCCTGTTGCCGATTTCGTAAGGCTTGAATAATGATTGCTAATGGAAGGAATAAATTTTCAATTAATTTTTCATCCTAGAAACATTGAGGACGATCCGGCCTACGGTGGTTCCTTATCCGGTGGTGGCGTCACTCCACCTGCTCTGAATCCGCTACCGCCGGGAACGGTGGTGACGTCGGATCCCCTTTCCGCTACACGGGTGCTGTGCGGTGCCCTGCTGCTTCCAACCGTTTCCTCGATCGTGGGCCGCGTATTTTTCGATTCCATTCGAAACAACTTCCAGCGGGTGCTGGTCGGAGGATTTGCATTCGTAGTGGCGAAGGGCGTCCTCAAAATCTACTTCAAACAGAAACAGTACAACAGGAAAAAGCAACGCCGCATCCTGGACTACACGCCGGACAACATACGGAAATACGGCGTCGGGAATCAGCAGCAGAGTCAGGGTCACAATCCGGCCGGGCACCGTTAAGGCGGACCGCGAGCTAGTGAGCTGTGTGATAGTTATTCTGGAATGGAGCGTTTCTATTTTTAGAAGGTTTTTCATCATTATTCAAATTGTAAACGGTTAAATTTAGTAGGATATCACTTTTATAATCTATCGTAGTCGAAAAAGATCGAAGCTTAGAATGGTTCAATTTTCCTACGGCAAGATGTTGAATGTTGACTATGTAAAACTAAAAAAAAAATACCTATCACTGTTTCTGTAAATACATATTTTTATTCTGAACTGGCTTTGTTCGTTTGGGTCCAAAATGTGAATCAATGGAAGAAAAAAATCTTAAGGTGTATTCAAACCTGAGCGTGCGCTGGGCGATATTCGCGTTGGTAAGAGAGAAAAGTACTAGTAGTCTCTCTCATACCTCTAGATAGATCTGGAATTAGGGCGTAACAGCCTTTGTAAACAATGACTTCCCTTGTTGATTTCTTGGAATTCAAGGAACGCCTACACAAACTTCTCGATGGTGATGTAGATTTGCCAGGGAGAGCCATGACTTTCGAGAAATCATCGAGAGAAGTCATTGTTTACAAAAGCTGTTACGCCCTAATTCCAGCTCTATCTAAACCTGATAGGACCTGATTATAGTCGCTATATTCATAGTTTGGCGGATAGAATTTCGATCTATCAAAAAGCGGAACCAATTTAATATATTTTAGACCAACAATTGAAAAGGTACTATCAACTTTTATAAACAAAACGTTAATTATTCTTTCCTCGCTAAAAGAAGATAAACTGCCAGCATCATCGGATAGGGGAAACTTTCCACAACCTAAAGATGGTGTTAGTTTGTGTAGGCGAGCCTAGAGTCTTGAGAAAACGGTTTCCGAAATTTTGTTCGCAGCAACTGATGTGCTCTTTTCTGTTGTTAGTCGTGATTTGCTCGATTGGTTCCGCTATTTGACAGCTCAATTGGTTCCCGAGATTCTATCCGCCAGACTATGAATATAGCGACTATAGACCTGATTGGTGCGGAGTCACTCAAAATGGTTTTCAAAAAAATCCAACGATCAGGGCCAACACCGAGGCTTACGTCCCTTAAATGGATTCGTTCGAAAGATGAAGTATTAGGATCAACACTCAAAATGTTATCCTTAAATTAAATTGTAAAGTAATAAAATAAATTTATCCATACCATACTAATGAAAAAGTACAATAATCACTAATGATTGTAAATCCTCGACAAAGAAAGCTTTCGACCGTTTGACTTGATATTGACCAATTTCTTACTTGATAACCTTTGATAACCATTTTAAAGCTTATTCCTAGCTTTACAAAATATTGGCTCAATCAAGCAATTGTAAACAAATATTGAGAAAGTCAGGAACGAGTTCTCATTTTTGCTCTGGAAATAAGGGGCCAATTGTGAGAGGATTTAAGCCGGCGCCAGTGATGTAGTGGTAAGTGTGACTGCTTTCTCATCCCAATGGGTCTGGGTTCAGGGTCGGTGGGATTTTTCTGAGGCTCAAAAATCTCCGGTCACGTCTTCCTTCAGAAGGGAAGTAAAGGCGTTGGTCTCCGGTCCATGAGTTGATGGAGGGTCGATAGGGTAGTGTCCAGATGTGGCAGCTGTCTCCCTGGCGTCATACTAAATACGGAAAACAAGATCGATGGAAAACAAATCAAGGAAAAAAAAGCAAAATAACTTGAAAGTTGAAAGTGATCGACCCCGTACCACTCAGTCTCATAGCAACACAAGTCCCACCCTGGATACCACTAAGTAGCTTGAAAGATTGAAAGCTTGCTCGTGTTGGTTGTGTGTATGCACAGAGCTTTTTTTTTGTTTTGGTGTTTCAATCCTTGATCACCATGGCAATTTGATGAATGGATGTAAAAGAATGAAAAAGACTATACGATCGTAGTAAAAGTGTTGTGGAGTGAAGTCAGGCCCGGCTAAAAACAACACACCAAGTCAGTCAAAAAAGCTCTACTTTTTGTTGCGTGCGTTGATTGGAACCGAAGACTTGTTGGATGGTGAGCTGCGTGTGCAGTGTTGGGCTGGAACGGTGCCCGGTGTGGTTGACTAATCATTATCATCTGCATAGCTACCTTCGTTTATCTATATGTAGTCACTAGTCCAACGAGTCCAACAGCCAAGTGAGTGACCTACCTAAAACACGACTGAACGACTGTGTTGGGAACTGGTTTTTCTACTATTAGGTATGTAGCATTGGCAAGCATTAATTCGCAGCTACCAATGATTGTCGCTATCCGCATATGTTTATCACCAAACCACTAACAGTGCTTTTCGACATTGAATGGTTTTTAGTCAACGTTTAGTGTGTCGTGTCTTCGTATTGTCTAGTCACATTGGAATTTACCAAAAGAGTTGGAACAACCATGGTCCTATCATATTTGACACCGTACATCCGGCACATTATCGTGATCGGTTTGGCAGCGGTGCTGTTTGTGGTTCTTTCCCGGGAACCGAATAGTCATTACAGCGAAACCAATATCAAGGAAGCTGCACCTGACGAGAAACAAGCGACGAGCGGCGAGAGGTTATTCACAGACCAGGAACTGGCGGAGTATGATGGCCGCGAAGGAAGCAAGGGCTTGTATCTGGTGATACTTGGATATGTGTACGATGTGCAGAAAGGAGTGAAGCATTATGGGCCCGGCGAGGCGTACAACATGTTTGTGGGTCACGACGCCTCAAGGTCGTTCATTTCCGGGGACTTCGAGGAGTACGATCCGGAGATGTCGGACGTGTCGTCGCTGACGGATTCGGAATTGAAGAGTATCGTCAAGTGGAAGTCGTTCTACGATGAGAACTACGTGTACAAAGGCAAGGTCGTTGGTCGGTACTTTGACGAGCGAGGAGAGCTGACCGAGTACCACAAGATCGTTCTGAAGCGGGTGGCCAAGGCGGAGGAAGAGGAAGCTAAGCCAAAGCAGGAGTTCCCATCGTGCAACGTTGAGTGGAAGCAGGAAACGGGGACGAAAGTTTGGTGTTCGTCCAGGAGCGGAGACGGCGTGGAACGAGGTTGGGTGGGAAAGCCTCGGAAGTACGTTGAACGCAAGGACGAGACACCGTACTGTGTGTGCGTGCCGGATGAGGCAGAACAGGGGGAGACGTTAGTTCCTTTTGAAGATTGCGATCCAATCAGTGAGAGCTGTTTGGTGAAGGATTCGAAATGAAGCGGTGAGCTGCAAAAAGTGCTACAAAAATGCAATAAAGTGATGTTGTGTAGGTAAATTAGAATGTTTAAGTGGTATGTTTTCAACGAATTTCTAAAAAAGCCTTGATATGACGTAGTTTTTATTAAAAACTCTGAAGACTTGAGCGATCCGTGGGTTCATCTCAAAAACTGTCTGCGTAGTTCACGAACAGCCCGACTCAAAAATAAATCAAATCAAAAAAGCTTAAAACGTATGCAAATTCCCGCTTTACCTTATTGAGTCCGAGCCATGATTACTTAGGCAATAGTCATGCATGATTAAATCCGAAATAATTAAAGAGTCTGAATTTATAAAGAGACGACATCTTATCCATTTGACAGGTCTTCTGCTCGATTGGAATGATTTTTCCTATGACTTTGACAGAAAATCGATTGTTCCAATTTTGACATGTCGTCTTATTAAAAAATCAGGTTCTTTAGAAATAATGACTTGTGATAACAATTTATCTTTTCAGTATTAAATTTTATTCTTTTAGAATATTAATATATAATCAAAGATAATCAAAATTCAATCAAAGAAGATTAAAATTCGATCAAAAATGACTAAAACATTTTCAAACAAGATAACTTTCAATTTAATCAACCATGATTAAACTTGACCTGGCGAATACAAATCTTCTTCTCCAGCTGCAGGGTGTCTACAAAATTTCCTGAGTTTTCCAGGTTTATCCACACTAAAAATCTTCACGGTCGATTTATGTGAAAACATAGGGTGTCCCAGAAAGTATAAGCACAGTTTATTATTGGACGTTATGTTAATGAACTCAAATTTTTATTTCTTATATATGTTCTATATAGTATTCTCTTTCAATGGGATGAAAATAATCCGCAGTTCCTTCAATCGCATGCCAAGAAGCAAACTTTTGATCTGATGCTGTCCATGAGCTTCAGCACAGATTCCTTGGCGATAATTTTGGCATGCAGTCTTTTTCAAATTCTTCGATTAAAATTGGCTGCCTTTAAGTGTTTCCGTAGATATCCCTTGAAAAGGGCCCAAAAAGTTTCGATTGACCGGGCCTCCGGACAATTCAGAGGATTCATCTCTTTTGGCACGTATTGCAAATTGTTTGCTTTGTACCAAGCTAGCGTGTCACCTCGTAACGTGGGTAGATTACCTCTTCGTGGTATGTTACGGGATGTAAGACCTACCACCGATTTCTAGTCCTGACTACTTCAAACTAGGGGAACAGGATTTTTCAGTAATCAAAGGAACACATCTTAGTCCTTGTTACTTTTTATGCCTTGTTGATAGTGACAAGACTCTGCTTTGCCCACCGAGGATGATCTTGAAACAAGGAAAAAATGAGTTAGTTAGTCTTCATCTATGTGATTCCTAATCTTCTATTCGTTGATCTCTAGTTTGAAATGGTTAAGACTAGGGTTCTGATGCATGGTCATTATTGGTGTCATTCCATAATTTTGTTGCTAAGGAATCCAATTTTGACTGACAAAGGGGTGCGCCTTTGGTGAATGTTTCAACACTCGAAGGGTATAAATAGCGGAACCTTTCAATTAGAGTCGGATCCTTGCGATGAAAGCAAGAATGATAACTGTAAAAAAATCGAATACTTCATCATTTCTTAATAATTATGGAGTAATACCAACAATCAATACGAAACTAACGATTTTAAATTGGCTCACTACTTGACTAGCCAATTTCTTCTTCTTCTTCGCTTTTTAAGCTTATTGCATATGGCATATTAGCTTATTGCGTGCTCTCAACTTAGTGTTCTAGATGCACTTCCACAGTTATTAATTGAGAGCTTTCGATGCCTGTACCATTTTTGCATTGGTATAATTGTGTAGCAAGTCCATTCTTTCTATGCCCAGGGAAGTCGAGAAATTTTCCAACCCGAAAAATTTCTAGACCGGACCGGGAATTGAACCCAGCCACCTCCAGCATGGTCTTGCTTTGTAGCTGCGCCTTTACCGACTGAGCTAAGGGAGGCCCCTTAGCCTATTAGTCCCAAGCAAATCGATAAACGTACCCCATTCTAGTCAAAATTCTAGTACTACACAAGGTTTGTTTTGATTCGCTATGAAATTTTGACAGATAAAATGAGGGATTATTGGATTTTCCTATGTTTCGAGGGGTGAATCGACTAGCTTGGGACCGAAGATAGTACCAGAGGTGAGCCAAAAAGTTGAGCACGTTTCTTCGGGACCTACTAGTCTTAGAGTTACCTCTATGGTAATACGACATGCACTAAACTAAGGACACGGCATATACTACAATAGATCAAATTACTGGTCGCAGTGATGTTAGGTCCCGAACAGAAGAAAAACAAAGCTACCGTGTCTTCCGAGTAGTGCATTAACACCAAATCGGCCCAAAATAGTACTGGGTCATCATGTTGACGGATCATGGGCCGCAGACGCCGATTCAAACACTCTCGAACGTAAATTTCAGTGTTCATCGTCTCCTTCGTCACAAATGGCTTTGACAATTTGCCACACTTACATATCGCTTGCCAAAATTTTTGGTAAAATTTACTTCTCAGCATCGGCAACTTCCTGACCATCACGGACTGTGTAGTATTGGTCTACTGGAAGCGTCTTGTAGTCAAATTTTGCGTATGTTTCATCGTCCATGATAACACGCGCCAATTTTTCACACAGCAGGCTATCATTTAGCATCCGAGTTCTCGGTTTGACGGATGCGGCTTGTGTCTGACTCCGTTTCGGCCTCGGTTTCGGCTTCTTCTGCTTCTTGAACGTTTTCAGTCCGTTTCTTGGCTTGGCACGTTGGACGTTACTCTTCGAAGTTCTCAGTTTTTTGGCCAAATCTCGAATAGAGGCACTTTTCTTATTGACGAAAGCTTGGTGATCTTCTGGTCCACTATTCGGTCCACCGGTCCCGGTTTACGGCCAGATTTCGATGTGTCCTCGAAGGTAACTTCTCCATCAAACTTCCGGATGGCGGTTTGGACTGCACCGATACTTACTTCCTCAATTTTCACCACGATTCCTTACTGATAGTTTGGGAATAGTGAACCATTTGTGCACGATCTGTTTGCGCTTTTCTGGGGAAATGTCCCGAATTTTGATGATTTTGTACAAAAAATGCACTTTTCGCACATAAACTTGTCGAGGAATAAGTAAACAACAACACACGGCTGATAAACTTCATCGGGGTAGAAATGGCGGCGAGTAGAAAGTGTGCTCATACGTCCACTCTATTTTTTACTTAACTTTTACCCGAAATTGCATGTAGCCGAGCAAGATTCAACTTCGATTATCGCTTACGTGAAATTGGGGTAAAAACTACTGGAAAGCTGGCAACTTTTCCGTGATATTCCGTTTTGTTTAAAATGCTTTTCACGTAATTTGTACGTGAATTTTGAATGACAATAATGGAACTATATATAGAAGCAGTCAATGTTAATCTCGTTCGAAATGTTACGGAAGTGGACAAGGCACGACTACCAAGAACTGACGCGAAGTTCTACCACGCGAAACCGGGACTTTTCCGAATTTCCGAACCGACAATGAAATAAAACTTGTGGAACAAAAATGTCTGCTCTGCAATTCATTTTCATTAGAAGAATAAGTAAGACGTAGTAAACTATAAAAAAACAGTCAATATTATGCAATTTTATCGGGCAGATATAAATTCCACGTGTTTCAATTGATACTTATATCTGCTCACAAAATTGCTAAAATTATTTACTGCTTGTGAAGCATTATGGGCCCGGCGAGGCATACACATTTCCGCCACATCAGTGGGCACACGGCCTACTCGAGAAAAGTCGGTCAACAACATGAAAGCAAATCGATATTAAAGTTTGCAGTTCCTATATCATAAATCATTCATATATCATTTTGATTTCAATTTACTGTCGCGATATACACGGTACCCGCAAAATACACAATAATGACTAAAAAAGAGTGCAAAGTAAGCATTTTCAAGGGAGGCTGGACTGATTATGGCGATGAGTGTGCAAATTTTTACGCAATAGCATCCTCCCTATTCGCACACGCCCGAAGACCGGAGGCGAATGCCACTTCGACTTGTTTCGTCTACTTACGACTCTCTGATGACTGTGTTGGGAAAGCAGCATATGCATGTACGTAATTGGTGGATTTGTTAGTTATTTCGACACTTTTGGACAGTGCTTGACATTTACCACTTTTTCAATAGTTTTTTTTTGTTGAAATGCTTCCGACTGTAGCATTCTATCGATGCGTAGAAATAATTCTGATCGGTTGGTGATAAACTTATTGAAATTGGCCCAGGGGCAGCTGAGTTATTAACGTTCAAAATCTTTCATAATTTCGTTACATGTTCCATTTTCGGTTTTCACAAAGTGTACCCCCATATAGAAATCACAAATGAATACTTACTACTATTTTTTGTAGTTGTAATTACTCATAAATGGGTAAAATTTTACTCATTTAATGGGTAGTCCCAGTTTCCCTTGAAAATGCTTATTTTGTAGTCATTATTAGGTTTTTGCGAGGGGGCGACACATATAAATCTCAATTCTAGATGCTCAACAAATCTCACACTAGCGAATCAATCTTCGAAAAATCTTCTTTCATTTCCCCATCTACTTGCACCGTGCATCATCTTTTTATAAGAAATCTTCAGAATCGTCATCAATCATCTTTCTATCTACTAAGCGTGTGCGTAGCTAACCACAGAAAAACACAATTTTTCCTGCATCGTAGGTAGAGTCGCCCCCCTCGGGTTTTTGCGGTTATCGTGTAAGGCTTCGTGCACAAATTACGCAACACAACGGGGGGGGGGGGAGCCGGCGCCGGTGGTGTAGTGGTATGTGTGACTGCTTTCTCGCCTCAATGGACCTGCTAAGACAACCAGAATGCACGTATATTTAAAGTTGTTTCTGTGATATACAAACATATCTACAAACAATCAAATCGTATAGAATGCAAAAAAAATGGCTTATACCTCCAAAAGTGGAGGCCATATACGTACAAATTTTAATTTCTTATTAAACGAGT